CCCCCCCCTTTTGGTTCGTTCCGCGATCCTTGGCTGTTGGACAATGTTTCTTTAGAAGAAAGAGGGATTTATACACTTTTTAATGTTATATTTTGTAATATTGGCGTTGTTTTATTTTTGTACTAAGAATTTATTTTCTCATCCAATATTTTAAGGAGACACTTCCTCCCTTGCCTCCTCGGAGGAAACGCCCCTGCTTCAGACTATGATTCAATCCAGTCAGAGAATATTTTGAGATTATTTTAGAACACATTGTTTTCATTTGTCATGCATAACAACAAGACACATGTTTCTGTGTGAGCTCGTTGTGATCAGAATGATTTTAAAGTCTGGTAGTGTGTGATTTTCAGTCTGTAAGTGTATGATGCCTAGCATTTTAAAATCTGTTCAGATTTTAATAGTTATGTAGTGTATAACGATGCTTTTGGGGAAACACATACCAGAGCAGTTCTTGAGTACACTTTTACATATCCTAACATAGACCACATTATTTACCATTATTTATATTTTATTTTTACTTTTGATGCTTAAGTAAATTTATAATCAATATCAAAATTTGCATTAGGTACTTGAGACTATTTCCATATACTGTAGGTATCTACTTTTACACAAGTTTGATGACTGGACACTGTTAAATATTATGCTGTAGAAAAAGACACATGATAAAGTCACTTATCAGAATACATTTCCTTATTCTATGATTTCTACATCATTCATCAAGCAAACAAACTCATATCCTCATTCTGCACACAGAAAGTGTCAACCACACTGCGAAATATTTTCTGAAGAGACATGACCACGTCATGTGGAGAACTAATTGAAAAGTGTGGAGTTTTCAGGAAAGGACAAAAAATGATTCACTTGCAAAAGATTTATGGGTGTGGACATTGAGTAAATGATGACAGAAATTTCATTTTTGTATGAACTATCCATTGAATAATACAGGTGTTAAAACTTAACAAAGTCCATAAAACATGGCCCGTACTCACATATTGACTCATTTATATTACATAAATTATAAATAATTATATAAATTATATATGGTGCTCAAGGTCCTACATACAAAAACCATCAGGGTAACACATGTGACACTAAATGAATGCTATAAATATATTGATGAAATAAAATAAAATATAAACTGTAAAACTGATAACTAAAATAAAAAAAAGGAATTTAAATAAAATGTCAATCATATGTGATGCATCACACAATAACTTTTAGGAATATGCTTTTACTGTATTTTACTATAAATTATAAGATTGTCATATATATAAATATATATATATATAAAAAGATTTTAATAAGTCATTTTTTATAAGTGCATGCATTTTTCTTCTTGAATAGTATATAGATTTAAACTGTAAACTATATAGTAATTCATACATATCACTTCCAAAAAGCATCAGTTTTACCATATTTTACAGTAACATTATATATGTATGGATATATACACACTTATTTTGTAAATTTGTACATTGATTTTTCATTGCTATGTTTGCTGTCACTATAAATGGTCAAGTTGATGTGTTGTTCACCAGGCAACTGCATCACTTTAGAGTGCCGTACTTTAGCACAAAACCCTGTGATTGTTTTAATCACCACAGGAAGTGTCACGTCACAAAACAGTAATCAAATTGCGAAGACAGATCACATTTTTGCACAATCACAATGTTGAGGAAGTTCAGAATCAAGGGACCATTTGAACCATCACATCTGTGAAACTCTGCAAAGCTGGTATTAAGATACAGACAAATGTCTCTGCAATTCCCAGTAGACTTCTGTTTAAAAAGTCATTATTCTTGAGCTGTCTTGAAGAGTCTGTTTATTTGACAAGTATTTTGGATTACATTAATTTATTGTGTATCTGCGAGTTACGTCTTTTGGATTAAGGCCAAGATTTGAATCTTAAGTAACATCAAAAATGTTCACTGTTTAAAGGACGTTATATGCTTGTGAAAAAAGTGCTTAATTATATTAAATGTGCACTTGTAGTGTACTTCAGATCTTAGAGAATATTATTTAAAACTGTACTTGCAGATAATATAATATCAATGAAATAAAATGCCACTTAAGTGTATTTAAAGACAGTATACTTGTTTCTTAGCACACATTTAAGTACTTTGTATTAATGTCAGTTTTACTTTAAAGTATAGTTAATTCATTATGACTTCATCATTTGACATGCTTTAAAGAAGTAGACTTATTTTGCTGTGTTGACTAACATAAAGCACATGTGAAGTGTTTGATTAAAATTGCAACTATATCGTGTTATCTGATGTTATATTTAAAGGTAATACATTTTACTGAATTGCAACATCATTTAGAATATATTTAAATACACAAAATACAAGTTTCAATTTTACATTTACCATAAAAGCTTGTCAGTACATTTGGCAGTACACTTTACTCATACTTCAAAGATGAGGTGTAATAATGAAATGACATATAAAGATGTGCTGAAGTCCTACTTAAGTGGGTTAAAAAAGCAGTTCAGCTAAATGCATTGAATGCTTTTTCATTTAATTGCAAATAACATACAATTAAGTGTTCAAAAATATTACAGGACAAAGGAATATAAAATCAAACATGCGTGTGTGTGTGTGTGTGCGTGTGTGTGTGTGTGTGTGTACCTACTTAACCATAATTTGGGGACAAATTTGTACCCAAACGTGAGCTAAACCTGACAAAATCTCCAAAAACCTCCCTTTGGGACGTCCTCATTTCTAAAACTGGTTTAAAAATAAAGTAAACCAAATTTTTTTTTTAATTGTAAAAATGCACAAAGTTTCCTGTAAGGGGTAGGTTTAGGTGTAGGGTTGGTGTAGGGCGATAGAATATATGGTCTGTACAGTATAAAAAATATATATATATACGTGTGTGTGTGTGTGTGTGTGTGTGTGTGTGTGTGTGTGTGTGTGTGTTTGCGCAGATGTGTGTGACAGTTCACTTACCCTACTATGACGATGACAAAATCCAACATATTCCAGCCGTTTCTCACATAGGAGTTCTGGTGCATCACAAGCCCATAAGCTATGATCTTGAGGAAGGTTTCAATCGTGAAAATGATCAGGAAGGCATATTCTACTGTTTCCTGTGAAACACAATGATAGAAAAGCAAGACTTTAGTTCTAAGCAGCTGTTTTAGTTTGAAGAACAACAAGAGCATGTGATTGGTAAATCAATTTGACATATTTGACAATTTGACAAATCAATCAATGACATAGAGAATGAGAAAAATCAATATGCATAAAACATTGCTGTTACAGATTTAATATAAACGTTTCACATATATTTTGCATATAAACGTAGATACATAGAGCACATCACATATGGTAAACATGGAAGCTTGTGGGTGTGCATCACATGCTAGAACAAACCCTTTTGGCTCTCATGCATTACACTCACATGTTTATCATATGTGATGTGTGTGTCGATCATTGTTTAGATGTTAATCAAAGCCTAAATTACACGTGTTCATATATATATTTACAAGACTGAAACTAAACCGCTCTGATGGAGATCAGATTGAACTGCAGGTAAATGTGCATGCTCATGAACCCAAAGATGACGAAAGAGACTACATTCCAAAGTACTGCATATTTGTAGGTTTTGGAACACAAACTAAAGGATATCAACCTCACGATCTTCAACATGTAAAAGTGCTCTACCGTTGAGATGTAAGCCTGATGCAGATGAGGACATTTTGATGAGATATGGTCAAATTTTAAACAATTAGGGTTAAAGCTGCATCAGTTGGATATAAACTACCCTTCCAATAGAGAAATTAATGGAATATGTTCATCATACAGTATTTTGTTTGCAAAGACAAATCACATTTTGTCTGCAAACTGAATCAAGCATTTAAATCCTAAAGAAAGCGCCTGTTTTATGCGTCTTTTTTCTATTCACAAAGACAGAAATCTGAAACTACCTTGACTTTCTTTTTATTAAGAGTACAACAATTGTTCCTATTGTCACATCCATTTTATAACTTGTGTGACGAGCGTCCCGAAGCTGCATCAGCGTCGCCCTGGAAACGAGCGAGGAGCACCTGGCCGTCCTCATCACAGGCTGATCGGTCACAGCTGCAGCTCATCAGGCGGTGGCCACATAAGCCACGCAAGCCCTGCCATCTGGGAGACTTCTCCATGAGACTGAGCACTAACTCGCCCTCTCATTTCTCCCACAGACAGCAGCGTGTGACCGACCAGCCCCACAGGAGCACTGCACGGACCATCTGCACTGGGAAGACGGAAGCCCAACATGGACGAAATCCTCCAGCGGCTCACCGAGGTTAGCATCCGCCAGCAACAAATCGTTAAGCACCTCGCCACCCGTCGAGGGAAGACAGAGCAGGAGCTCGGGGCCCTGCGTGCCGCCGCCGCTCAACGCGTTCCGCTGCCGGACCCCGCGAGCGCCGCCGTTTCCCCGGAGGGTGGTCCAGGAGCGGTGCGCGCCGGAGGGCACCCCGCGACCAGTGAGCAGGCCGGCGGCTCCCTCTCCTCGGGATGAGCCCATGCCAAAGGAAGTCCCCGCACGGACCTGGCTGACAGGCTGCATTGTGCAATGCAACCTGCAGGTTGGGCACCTGACGAAGGCGCAGCAGGCCCAACAGCGCCACTATAACCGGACAGCCCAACCACGGGAGTTCCAACCCGGAGACTGAGTCATGGTCCTAGTCCTCAATGCGGCGTGCAAATTCCTGGCCACCTGGCAGGGTCCCTATACGGTGCTGGAGAAGATTGGGCCGGTGACGTACCGTGTGCGTCAGCCAGGAAAGAGGAGAGCCGAGCAGCTCTACTGATCGGTCACAGCTGCAGCTCATCAGGCGGCGGCCACATAAGCCACGCAAGCCCTGCCATCTGGGAGACTTCTCCATGAGACTGAGCACTAACTCGCCCTCTCATTTCTCCCACTGACAGCAACGTGTGACCGACCAGCCCCACAGGAGCACTGCACGGACCCTCTGCACTGGGAAGACGGAAGAGAGCACTCACGGCACCGGAGCACCTACCTGGACCTTTCTCCCTACCACCCACCTCACTAATAAATCCACCCTCCGGGGCTTTTATTAAAAATTCCTTGTCGTGTGATTCTTCACCCCGTTACACTTGCTACATATAACTAGCATTCCGAACAACTCTTAATTTCTGGTACAAACAGAAAACAACAAATTTCCTTAACTTATGTATATTAATTTCACATTTCCATTAGAACAGTTTCACATTTCTTTTTTTTTCTCATGTGATATAGTCCTTTAAGTATTGAGGTTTCTTTATCAAAAGTCCTGCTTTCGTGACAACAGATGCTGGGATGTCTGTCTGTTTGGTGTTCCGCATCTGATTTTCCACATTGTTGGATGTTTGCGATTGAGCATCTGCAGTTCCTGCATGTTTTGTATTGTCAGGAGCAATAGTCTCTATTTGGTTAGAGACTCTGGGGGTCATTCGCTGTTCCCTTCGGAGATGTCTCCTGTTCCTCCTTATAACACCTCCAGAATCCAACTGGACACTGTAGGATCCTGAGTCGATGGGCTCCACCGCTGTCCCCTTTCTCCAGAACTTATGAGGCTCAAATGGTTGTATTCTCACAGGGTCACCTTGTTTTAGAGTCTCTAAGTCTTTGGCTGATCTGTTGTAGTATGTTTGTTGCTATTGTTGATTTGTTGTCAGTTCTCTCAAAGAATTCTGAATCTTTGGTTGCAGGAGGCTGGTTTTCGTGGGTAGAAGTGTCTTTGTGTGACGGCTCAGTAGCCTCTGTGCTGGGTTGGTTGACAATCCATGTGTTGGTGTGTTTCTATGATCTAGGATTGCTAAATATGGATCCTGTCTTGACATTTGTGCTTTAAGCATCAATCACTTGGCAGTTTTGACTGCTGATTCTGCCTTGCCATTACTCCGAGGATAGCCAGGTGATGAGGTTTTGTGCAGAAATGCCCAATGGTGACTGAACTTCTGGAACTCCTGTGACGAAAACTGTGGGCCATTGTCAGAGATGGCGATGTCTGGAATACCCTGACGGGTGAAGTGACCTTTCAGCTTTCTTATGACAGTAGTAGATTTGGTGTCTGGCAGATAATCAATTTCCCAAAAATTGGAATAGTAGTGTAATTAGATAGTCCTTGTTGTCAAAAGTAAACAGGTCCGTGCCTACCTTGGCCCAAGGTCTGTCCGGCATATGTGTACGCAGTGTCTCCTTTTGCTGGTTACAGTCCACTGCGCGGCAGGTGTCACACTGCTGTACATATGATTTGATCTGCTCGTTCATTCCTTGCCAGTACACACACTCTCTGGCCCTCCTCAGGCATCCTTTCACACCTAAATGAGATTGCGTTATTCCCCTCCAAATCTGCTTAGGGATAACAGCTCGTTCACCTCTGAAAACAATGCCATCCTGGTAGCTCAACTCCTCTTGAAACAGGTAATAATTACCTATTTCTTGTGGTGTGTCAGTCTTGTTCTTTGACCAACCTTGTAATATGGCTTTAATCAGTGTCTGCAAAGTTTTGTCTCTGCTTAGGGATAACAGCTCGTTCACCTCTGAAAACAATGCCATCCTGGTAGCTCAACTCCTCTTGAAACAGGTAATAATGACCTATTTCTTGTGGTGTGTCAGTCTTGTTCTTTGACCAACCTTGTAATATGGCTTTAATCAGTGTCTGCAAAGTTTTGTTCTCTTTTGTTGCAGAACAGATTAACCCAAGTCTGTCCGCTGAGATCGGTACATGTTGTGTCATGTTAATTGTCTCTAACTCTGCTTCAACAGCTCCAGTAGCCCTGTTCTGTGCATGTTAGTGCTCTGCTTGTGAATGCTACTGGCTTACCTCCTTGCATGAGTGCAGCACCAAGGCCTCCCTCCGAGGCATCACATCGGATGGTAAATTCTTCATCAGGGTCGTAATACTTTAACACTGGAGCATTTGGGATTGTTTCTTTTATATTACAGAATGCCTCTTCATGCTGCGCAGTCCACCTCCATTGAGAGTCTCTGTGCGTCAACTGTCTCAGGGCCTCACACTGGTCAGAAAGATGTGCACAAAACTTTGAGAGGTAATTTACCATCCCTAGTAGTCTCTGAACTGCTTTTACATCTGTTGGTTTCTGCATGTGTGTTATTGCTCGAACTTTGTCTGGGTCTATTTTCAATCCATCAGATGTCAGGAGGTGTCCGATGTAAGAGACTTCTCTTTGTCTCAATTTGAACTTAGCAGCATTTAACTTGATACCTTTCTCTCTGCATCGCGCTAGAAATGCTTTCAGATTTTCATCATGGTCTCTCTCTGATTCTTGTGTCTCTCCTTGTCCTGTAATGAGCACATCATCAGCAATGATGTATAGTCCTGGCAGGCCCTCTAATGTGAGTGTGAGCTTCCTCTGAAATATTTCAGGGGTCGGATGCAGCCATCAATACCTGCCGAATGTGGAAGAGAATGTGGTGAGATAGCTGGATTCTTCCTCCAGCTTGACGTGCCAGAATCCACTTTTAACATCGCACACAGTAAACACTTTGGCTTTTGACAGTTCAGGGAGTATGTCATCAATAGCGGGTAGTTGGAAATGACAGCGTTTTAAAGCTCTGTTTAAAGGTCTTGGATCTATACATACTCTGAGACTGCTGCTGGGCTTCTGTACGACCACCATACTACTGATCCAAATCTTCCTTCAAAGGTTTCATCATGGCCACTGGAACCCTTCTTTTTGGGAGCTGTGTGTTATCAATCTCAATTTTGTACTCTCCCTCCAGGCAGCCATCACCCGGGAATAAATACATCAGCATATTCACTCTTTATCTGCTGTAGTGACCACTGGCTGGTTGCGGACTTTCCTTTGGTGACTATACTGCCTATTGCAAGAATGTTCTCGTAATGCACTTTGATGAGCTTCATAGCTTCACTTGCTTTCTTCCCTATTAGGGGGACAGTACAATTGTTATCCACCACCTGGAATTCCAGCCTGTACAGTTTGTGGTTTCTCGGGTTTCTTACTTTTAGTTTGCACTTTCCTAGTGGTCTCACTTTGCTTTGGTTGTACATTATTAGCACAGTCTTTGTATCCTCCAGTTTTATATCTGGGCTCTGCAGACTGATAGGAA